CTAGGGGTAAAACTTCTGAAACAAGAGAGATACGCTTCTTAGTGCTAAGCTGGACTTCGAAAAGACCTTTGATAATCGGCTGTTACTTTTACGGCCAAATCCAATGGGAATAGCTCTAATAGAATGCTGCTCTGTTGCAGAGTTTCTGGAAGGAGGGGCTCTCTGAACGAAGGTAAGGTTGTGATATCACAACAGGGAGCATCAACCAGTGATGCCCCAAGAGGAACAGTGCTAGCAAAGCCACTGTACATAGGTGTTTTAAAAGTACATGTTTGTTGTTTTCTGTATCATCATAGCAGATCAGTCAAAAGGTAGGATCTAACGGTTAACTCCTAAATGTTTCATTCTCACGAACAGAAAACAGAAGTTTTAATTGTTCGAAGGTCACTGAGATTATCCGGCAATCAGTTAAACTGAATACCATTATCAACTAAGGTTCTCACACAGCACAGAGTTTAAGGTTCCACAAAGCTAAAACAAGGCCATGCATTTTTACGGGAGCTGACGGAGATCGCCAGCTTAATGCGGAGTTCCGTAGCACTAAATTTGCGCCCAGTCCCGCCAACTCAGGTCATTCGGCTTTCAATTTTCAGATGTTATATCGCATTTATGCTCAAATGAATCAGAGAACTAATGTAATAAAATTAAAGCCATATACTAAGGTAGGTTAATGCACACATTTTGAAACTGTACAAGAAAAAGCTTTCTACTCTCGCAGCTGGGACCAATAACGTAGCCACAAACGAGAGATTCAGCTGGGTTCCGGAAGCCCCCGAAAAAAAAAACAAATCTGTTCGCAAATGGGAGTGTAGTTCAATAATTTCGTGCAATTTGGATTCAGTTAAAATTTAAGGTTGACAGCAACTCGGGGACTGCGCCAACCAGATGATTCACAAGAAGGACGAATCCGGTCGTGGGCTGTCGACGAACTTTTAGCAACCTTATGAGTAGTGTAATACAAATATACGTATATCGCGATACTTCAAACATCGTAGCGACTGAAACATGAGGCGGCTTGGCGCAGCACATTCAATTGCCTGGAAACATCACAAACGAGAGATTCAGCTGAATTTTAGGTGAGACTCTCGCACAACCAAATTTGTTTGCAAATGAGTGTAGTTCACTAAGATCACACCCAGTTAATCTGCGACTTTTCAGGAAGAAAAAAGAGGTAAGTCTCTTTAGGATGGCATCCTGAATTATATGGCTTTGGAAACAACAGACTTCTTTGTATAAAGTTCTTCAGCGCCCCATTTGGTGGCGATGCCACTTAATATTGAACCTATTTTCTATTAGATAAATAAGCGGTTATAAGTTCAGACCTGACTCATGCTTTTTGTGACGGATAATGCATTTAGCGAATAAAAACCATAGTAACAGGCCTAGCCAGAAAAAGTAACTTTGTCACTGAATGTAGTATCCTTTATTATTTATAACTCAAGCATAATCCTCTGGCATGTAGTCCACGTGGGTTAAACACATTGACGCACTGTTGTTCGAATTTAAGTAAAAAATGTTTGGTACTCGAGAATCATGCACCAGTTGTTTGTCCACCGCATGTACATTATCACTCGGTCATCTAGATTTTTGATCTCAAACAAGGAGAAATACTGCATCGTGAGAACTCCGGCCTGTGTCGCTGCAGGTTTGATGCAAAACACATAGCTAACTGGAAGCTATTCATAGATGTTTTCTCAGTCGATAAGCATTGATAATGTACAGTGAGGAACAAATTTACCGGCGAACGTTTCGCTTAAAAATTTGTAATTGACGGTACAGATTCAGTGGTCCTAATAATTTTATTTGGTGAATTAAATACAATTCTGACAATATTCATGAAAATAATAGTGGTACTTTAGTCACTGAGTTGGAAGCACCAGGAAATTCATTATGAGAGAACGGTTGCATATTGCAATAGAACGCTGTCCCAAAAGATGAAAGACAAGCCAATATCCGATTCACATATTTTGATCAACACTGACTGTTTTCGTCGGCAGAGCGCATTTAAAATGGTATGGTCCTTCAGAATCAAAATAGGGCACTACACGACCCAACTCATTAGCTTTCAACAGATCCTAGAAACACGGAAAGAGCATGAATTGGGCCGCACCGTTTTTTGCTGTACATCTGATCGAAAGAAGTCCAGCTTCTGGTTTATGCAGACTGTCATATACCTGAAAAATGTAATAAATGTGGCAATTTCTCCCAAATGAGAATAAGGACAATTCTTGTTTTGATGGAAAGTATAATGGAGGTAATCTTGATCAAGAAACGTTTCGCGAAGACTTTCACAGCATTTCGCTCACCAAGAAAAAGCACCATTCACGATATGTCCACATGTGCTTAGCTTAAAAACATGTGTACCTAATAATCTGATTGGTTCATTATTTAGTGACTTGGTAAATTTTGTGTGCCTTACTGTAATTTGAGAGTTACGTTCGAGCAGTGATTATTTATATTGGGAAGCGAACATGCAAATCCTCTTTTTTGCCAGCGGAATTGTTGCTAGGTTCTTTTGCTGGTGGAAAAAGCAAAATTATGACCATAATTTATGTCAATTTAAAGAGTTATTGCCATGTGATTTTCAACCGAGTAATAATTCTGAAATATTGGGTGATTCTTTCTGACAGCCGCGGCCAGCAACCCGTATTCACGCAATCAAGAAGCGGTCGGATGAACAAAAAAGTCACAATTCACACGTACCCGAGGTAATTCTGTAGGTTAACAATGGAAAGTTTGAAAGTGCACAATTATACGAGTGCGTCAAATAACTCTATAGACAATCGTGTTCTTTATTTCGTCGCTGTTTCAAATAGACTTGATTCCCATTTTGACCGGCATAGTGGAGAAACCACCCTATACGAAAAAAGATAATGTTAAACGATACCACTACACTCTTGCCTAAAGTTGAAAGAGAAACAGCATGTCTTTGTTCGGTACTTTCGGCTGACGTATGCTCTTGCACGTAAGTTGTTACAAGGTTCGATCACTGATTGAACAATCGTTCTCCCAGTTACAGCACCTCACTGCTATGCAAAACTAAATTTTATACCGCCATCTAACAAGCTCAAACATTGTAGTTTGGATTCCTCCATAGTGAACTGTTAATTTTTTTGAACGATTTACTGATAATTTGCTGATTTAACTCACACCTGGAAAGAAGAGGTTCTATCAGACACCAGTGATTTCATAAGCAGCTCCAACACCATTTGTTGTGGTCTCAGTTTCTGAACCCAAATCTTTATAAACTAATGGTTAGATAGATTATGATTTCACGTGTGCATGTGTGTAGAATTTCGAGCTGGAGGAGCACTTATGAAGTCCTATCTAGTAGATGAAATACTATAAAATAGAAGGAACTTATTAGGCGAATTCCAGGCTTCGGAAGTAACAAAAAAAGGGTTGGAAGATGGAGATCAAAGCAAGTGAAAATCTTTGGACGTACAAAGGTTCCCAAACCGTTGGCTATAGTTGTAGACCAGCAGTTTAACAATGGGTTAGGGTTGGCTACTTTCATTATTGCGATGATGAACAGAAACTTTAATGCTATAATATCCCTTTTTTTCTTAAATTGAGCAGTCGGTAAAAATCTTGGAGTGCAATTCATCCTCCTGGTCTTAACGGACATCCCCATTTGGTTGGCTTTTATTCGCATGGTATGAAGCAACAGCTAAGATACGTATTTTTGATATATACCAGTATTTAAGATTGAAGAGGCAAACTAATATCATAAAGTGCTATCGTATTATTTTGCGCCACCAATAGATATACGGTTGCTACGGATTGTGTCCTGTATCATCAATGAACGCCCGTCACACCCCATTGTAATCCACTGGAGAATTCCATGTCTCACTGCAGACCATTCGTGTGACTCCAGGTTCTGCTGCTGCACGCATAAAATTTTTTTGAAAACCAAAATCCCGATCTAAAAGGGTGCCAGTCCGCCGTCCAACATCTTATTTTATGCTTAAAAATTCCGGCCGATTCACTTTTTCAGCTACAGTTACGAGCAATTATGCCTGAAAAATTTCATAAATGGGTCCCTAATCCCGAGCGAGGAGGTCTGCTATCGGTTTACTCACAGTGGTTCAATCCACCAATGGCAACCGTAGTGGTAGGTGCCGACGCTATTGGAACAGTGCTGATCATAAAATCACATAAAAAAATTGGATTGATTAAGAAGTTTCGGTTTGCATGTTTGTATGCTTTTGCTGCACTACGTACTGTGCTACCGACCACAAAGATTCAGGAAGTTGATGGGGCAGCATCTTTATTTTCTATCTTTATTTCACACACAGACAACGACAACAATAGGGGTATTCTACCTGCAAGCAAACTACATGTTACCTGAGCCAACCCCAACCTCCCTATGAAGACTTTTGACAAAGTCCCGTACTGTGTAAAAGTACCCGTATGTAGAGAGCGTTTAGAGAAAATAAACGACTGTGCAAATAGCGGAACTTACCCAAGATGCCTGAATTGACTTGCATCTGGGCAGCAGAATAGTCCCTACATTGTTGTGACTTCTCAAAAACGAGCAAGAATGATAAACAGGGACGGAGTAGATGGAAGGGTTCATACATGATATATTCCGTATTCATTTTAAAAGCCCTCAATTTGAAAACGTAGCCCAGCAATGGTTCACTCATGGCCTTCACAGAAAGAATTGTGAACAACATTCTGATTATCATGATGAAAGAATAAGGAATAGAGAAATTGGCTGAGGCTGAAAAAAGGTTGGTTCATTGATGAACGTTTCACCACAGAGATGACCAGCATAACCTGCAAACGTTTAACACCTAACGAAGCCAGCTGAACTAATTTTAGGTATTATGTATATCAGTTCAGAAGAAGGGTGAATAAATATCGTTGGCCTGTAATTCGTTGCAGAACTCACCGGAATCGGGGCATAGTCGAACGACTCCTACTGGTTGGTCGTCTTTTTTTTGAACGTGGAAGTTGACTGGTTCTTTGCTCTGGATGGACAGGGTGACCATCACCTGGCCTTGCCCGCTTTGGATCTGGGGGTGACAGTTTCGGTTCTTCATTGGAGCTCAACACTGCTAACATCGGCAATGTGCTTTTCGGTGCTACGTCCACGACAGATTGTTTTTCAGGCAAAGGCTGTTTACTAAACTCTTCTTGTCTGCTCACTGGCACACTTTCCCTTCTCGGAGAACTGCCCTTATCAACCTGTACGGACACTTGATGAGATAACGAATGACTCAGTGTTCTTATCGAAAAAGAGCGATCACTTGGATCCATAGAGAGGTAGCCTGAATCCTGTGTGTGGCGCGATTCTAGTTTAGGTGCATGTAAAGGTTCTGCAAACGGCTCGGCCCATACTTCATGTTCTATTGCTTTCTTGACACGATTTTCCAATCCGCAGCTCGTGGGAGAGTGTCTCGAACGCATTCTCGAACTGACCAGTCCTGGGTCATATAGACCTTCACTTTCTAACTCCGATTCCTGTGGTGTCTCAGCCTGGGCGGTTCGGCTGTATGATTGAGCTTCTAGAGGTTTTGCGCCAAATGTCGAGTTACTGTGCTGAGCTGTACTTGCGTTGGGGAGGGATTTTTGCCTACAGGTTGACCATTCCAACGTTCTCCTTACCCGGTCCCTCGGCACTGAGGCAGCTCTGGAATAAGCAAGAGGTGTGGGACCCAAAGGATCAGGTTGTGGCTCTTTTAGGTCATCTAACTTTTCTTCGGTTGCCCCCACAAACAAGTGGGTGTCCACTGGAATGTCCACCGATTCTGGAGTATCCTGTAAGTTAGGTGGAAGAAAACGTGGAAAGGACGTTGGAGGCTTCCCGAAAGTTCTCAGAAGAAAAAATCAGTTATGAAAATAATGCATAATGTGAACAGTTTAGGTTTCTTGGCCTACTGTACAATATACGAGCACTACGTACCAAAAATCTCATCAGAACGGGTTTCTGCATCTTTATTGCGTTCGTCATTTGATTCAAAGAAACTTTTAGAAATCCCCTTATTGTATCATAGCTTTTTCCTGAAGCCGAGAATATTTTCCATCTGTCAGACCGGAGTAAACCCTTCCGGCTGATCCTCATGTGTTCCTTGGAATCGTGGTTGTTCGTTCTTCCGTTTAATATAATGCATCGACGAATGACGAAATTTCAACAATGGAAGCGGAAGTAAAATCAAAAATGCAAATGCTCCCAAAGGTTGAAAATAACAACTAATCCGCTGAAAAGATTCATATGGAAACTGGATTACGATATGGTGAGTTGCAATCCACACAACCATTGGAGTGAACTTAGAGTTTGTGTATCAAATGGCTGATAATTTTCGTCCGGAAATGGAGTAGCAGCGAATAATTTCTCGTGAGTACCGATGATATGGACCGCAACACTTTTAAAAGTAATGAATTCAATAAGAGCAATGCAGTTAGGACTGCCACACCTGTGTTAATGAGGGCCGGATTCAGGTTCTTCCGTTTCAGGTTACTAAATATGCTTCCGATGAACAAGTCCTATTCTTGTAACGCACCACTCATAAGGTTGCTGAGATCCCCTCGACAGCCTGGAAACATCAAAACCGAGAGACTCAGCTGGGTATCAGGTGAGCCTCTCGAAAAACCAAATAAATCTGCAAATTAGTGTATATTCGCTAAGTCCTATTCCGTTAACACAGGACTGTGACCTTAAACGCCTTGGGTGTTATTCAATGTGCTGTGAATTGTTGTTTCACTAAGCTCTCTTCCCATTCTGAAAAATGCATTTTTTAGTTACTTTTGGAACGGTTGTTCTGCAATCTGATCACTGACGGTCAGGCAGCTAACTGGTAAATATAGACAAGTTGAACACATCGTTGAAAGCATGTCAGGACAAAACTATTGCTGTTTTTTTTCAGATATCATCAGAAGTGGTGGACCCAGCTGTCAAATAGAGAAATCTGGAAGACGACAAAATGGAAAAAAAACCTTATGGTCACTGATGCCGTGCAAATTTTACCATTTATCAACCATCCGATTCTATAGGTTGGTTTTCTAAGTTGTCGCACGTCAATATTTCATTTTTCTGTGTCAGTTCAGCGTTAGTTTATCCATATCACCTAGATATTACAGACGGAATGTTTCATCTGTAACACTGTTTCATGAAAACCGTGAATATCTGAATGAATCACATCTATTTTCAAAACAGGCCAACGTTATACAAGTTTGAAGGACCCTACTGGCAAGCATTTTGAGATAAATAGTGATATTAGCAGGAAACCCTACCAGGCGGAACACCAACCGGACATTAGAAGAGGTTCAATCAGCCTTATATGTAGTGCTGCACCAGATAAATAGCTGCGACCATCTTTGCTGACTGGGTGCTTGTGTGTATCTTTAATCTAGGAATGCCATCTCAGCACGTAGTCATCTTATGTTGATAAAACTGTTGGGATTAGACCGGATTAAAAACCCAAAACTTATCTATTGAAAAAATATGGTCAAGTAATAGAAAACGAGTTCCATCCAGAGAGAATTGCCATAATCCAAGATGACTAATTCAGCATTTTTATAATATAGCCAACCATCTTGGTAGAAAAGTTGGGGATAAAATGACATAGCAGAGTATTTACTTTTTTTCCACAGGAATTTCTGGTTCAACCAATGGATTACGATGAAGGATTACCATCTGTTCAGTTTTACTGTTCACTGCAACGCGTTTAAATTTATCCTGAAGTATTGTTACATTTCAGACTGTACACATGATAAACTTCACTGCACACCCGCGGTCTACCACATATAAATTTGGCTACCATAAATTTATTTGTTTTGTCTAGCTTTACTTGACCACCTGGACAAATGTCATTTTTATCACAACCGGTATCGATGGCAACCGAAAATTAAAATCGATCCACAGCACGTTTGGTTCAAAATCTCATCCACGCTGAATGGAGACAAAGCCCAGGATGATGGATATTTCTTGCGTCAACTTCACGACAAAACCCAGCAATCCTGGGAAATTCAATCAAACTGCATGTTCTCTGTCAAACAGCTCACATGAAGTAAGGTCAGAAAATGAGAAAATAAACACAAAGCCTGGAAACGTCACCAGTCAAATTCCATTGACATTTATGAGGGGTACATAGCTCGATTTCGAAACCAGTTTAGAAGTTCATATAACTTTACAGAGGAGGATAATGTTTCTGATATCCATTTTCCACCGGAATATTCCAAAAGGGAATCTGTTAGTTCCAACAATGTCAATCTAAATTGACCACGACTGATTGTAATGCTAATGCACCAGGATATCATCTTGTCTTCTTCTTTTCAGGATGCCTTGTAATGTTTTCCAAGAAGGTAGTTCAGACTTTGGTTTCTCCGTGGAGTTTACAAATATTGGTCGGTTGGGATCCACTATATTAGCATACCGATAACTTTGTACTCCATTCTTATAACTCTGTAAAATGTCGTTAGAACTTTTGCCACCTGCGGTATGGCAATATCAGACTCTTTATTGTTGTCTTTAGGGATCTGTCGTTGATAATTCTGCAATCTCTCTCTACTTTCAGGGTGTTTTATGACCCCTTCCGCCCGGATCAGACAGGTTGATGATCTCTGGGAAAACTAAATCTAACTACACAAAGCTGTGAAATATGAATGTAGAAATTGATGTAATTTGCTAATGTTTCTCACTTTAGATATGTGGACATCCTAATTACAGATAGGCGCATCCTTTGGTTGGCTTGCCGATTGCTTGCATAGGCTGGATGTCGTTTGCTCATTTCATGACACTTGGTGTTATCTAGTCTGTTGCTGGTTCCGATTTACCGCTCATCTGCCACCACGACCTCAACTTAGGTCCATAATTTCAAATTACTGACTGAATTTCTTGGAATTTCCCGGGATACACAACTTAGAACACCAAATGGGGTATATCATGCCTACCTGTATGGGTATTTGACCAGCTGAGCACATCGAACGATGGATTATTACAAATATCTCGATTTCAAAATACTTATTACCACCAATTATTTTTCATCATGGAGAGCCACACCCACAGCCGCAGTTCACCAGATGATGAAATGTTCTCCCGGTAAAGATCGGTCCGTCTCTCACCGTATATTTTCATGAATTGTACCTCGAAAAATGTTCCGTAATTTCGCCTTTTATTTCACGCCACAATAAAATACTGTGGCTGAAACCCATGTGCCACATTCATTTTCTTAAGCAACCTTGAAATAATCAAATCATTTGTCTTCATTTGGTTACACCACTAGATAACTGCGACCTTTGAGAGGAAAAAAATCTGGGCGGGACTGGCACATGCCTGTTTGTTTGACCTTAGTCATGAACTAAGTCATACACACTCAACTTGGCAAGATCTTTCAGGGTACTATCATTTTTATTCGTTCCTCAAATTTTTTCGATCGCAGAAACTGTCGCCATATCTGCTCTGTATCCCAGCGGCTTTCCCAGCAGATGTGAACAAAGTGCCTCGTTCCTGTGAAAATACTGATCATTCTTCGACTTCGCGACAGCTATTATTCGACGGAATAAAAAACTGAAAATATGGACGATTGGTTGTCAGCTTACTCCATGTCACATTCAGTTGAATACCGTGAGACGATCCAGATCGCCGTTCAGCGACTGGGTTGATGGTGTCGATTCGTGTCACGTAACCAAGTCAAACTCAGGCCCGTAGGCAGACGACTCCTTGACATACGTGTCACTTTCGACAGCCTGGTGCCGAATTTAGCAATTGTATGGCGACCGCCCCTGCTGTAGTCAAGCCTTGCCGTTGAATCAATACTGGCAGTCTATTGGGTATTCGGTAGCTGGGACAAAACGACTCATTTGGTTTACCCACGTGACCTAAGCTAACTATGGGTGACGCAGTTGAGCTTTTGGCTGACCCACTGAGTTTCGTGATGTTTTGGCCAAGGAAATGCTCACGTATTCCCTCAGCAAGCGGTCGTCTCGTGCGCCCAACCTCGTGAGCTAAACAACAGTAGAGAAGCTAACACAACCAAATTATGGATGAGGACTGACAACACGTCTTTGAGGTTTATGTTAAGTAAATAGTTAGTTGTAAATCAAGATCGCAGAGTTGCAGCCAGAAGTGTGTTGCAGGGGTCGAAAAAAGCTGTGATTGACTGTGTCTGTCAGCAAGTATCCTACATGGATAGACTCAATTTGACCAACTTTTTGCAACGGTCGTAACTGTTAGATAGGGCGTTGATACATATTCTTGGTTCTAAATCTCTCGGAACAACCATCGGCTCCGAACACACTAGCGATGAACTTCAGTTCAGAGTAGCTGCAGAGCAAATTCGCCTTACTCTGTTTGTTAACGGGTAAATCATGATTCTCCCTTAGTGGCACAAAACTGTGGAATTATGTGTACTGTCCCGTTCACGTGGGCTTCCTTCTGCAGAGCAAATTCGCCTTAGTCTGTTTGTTAACGGGTAAATCATGGTTCTCCCTTAGTGGCACAAAACTGTAAAATTTTGTGTACTGTCCCGTTCACGTGGGCTTCCTGTGAACATATATCTAACTTGATGCTGTAGATTGCTCAAAAATTGGAATGCATTGTCAATTTTGGTTTCAAAAGAAAACTGAATAGAGGAATTCCTTTGGTGCTGCTGTTAAGGCGAGCACCTATTCTGGAGCTGTTTGACACTAGCATAACAATATCACCTATTTGCCGCAGATGAAAGTAGGTAAGTTAACCCCAGGCTCCAACATACCCATCTAACTATCGCCACCCTAAAAGAGACTGCGGAATGGCAGTGTCAAATCTGATGAGTCACTGTTATCACAGACACATTTCATCATCCGGGCAGGACGTTCATAAAATAAAGTTTAAATCGAAATAGCATTCCAACTTGGATTTAACGTGAACGTCTTTTATCAGCTGCACGCACACTTAAAATTTTCAGGGAAAATACATTGGCATAAACGTTTAAATACGGGATCCAAAGTCTCAACCAACCACTGGACATTTGTGGGATATAAAAAATTACACCTATCTAAAATAGACCTCAATGGTAACTATTCCTTATCAAGCCTAGGCAGACCAGAAAGTCGTACGACCATGTTGCCCACGGGCTTGAGAATTTTGAATAAGACATCAGAATAAGGCGGCCACTCCTCTGATTTTTTGGATAGTTTATCAGCTGTGGTTCAGATTTGCATCATATACGTGAGGTAGTCATCCACGCCCATATATATATATATATATATATATATATATATATATATGTTGTTGTCGCTCTTTTGCCAGGCTTTGTTAGCGTTCGTAGAGCTTTGCTTTTAGTGCTTCATGTTTCTTTATGAGAGGACATCTGGATCATATAAACGTAGTTGTACTGCCACCTGCAACTGCCTTTATCGGATTTGAGACAGTCTAAGCCGGCCACTGAACTCCAAACCAGATCTAGTCTGACCAAACAGGTTGTTGAATTGCATTTCAGACGCTTATCTGTTATGCCTACGGTGTGGACAGCAGAATGTCGGCCCTCCCATAGCGTTTCGTTGAGAACGAAGTCAAAATAGTTGTGTACTTCCCCCTCTAGTTTTTTTCAACTTTTCGAAGCCTTGCCTCACTCAGGCTTTTGTTAAGGCTGGATGTTTCCGTGTTAGCCAACTTTGTAGATATAATTTCAGCGGTAAACTTTCCTAAAGTTTATCTTCTGAAGGATCCTGGCTAGTTAGCCATTGATACTCGCCCACTTGTGCGTATATTTTAATAATTTCACTGCGCGTAAATTGTTTTAGCGAGACGCTTTCGGATTGGACACGGTTTTTGTGTAATTGCTCCCAATAAGTTTTTGGTGTAGACCAAGTTTGATGTATCCCCCGAGGAATTTTGTGAACATGTTTGTCTCTGTCTTGTGTTGAAGCCAGCTATCTAAACACTGCAGGATTTTTGCTTTTTCGTAATTGTTTGAGTATTCCCATAGGTTTCTGGATGACAAACGTTAAGGTTCTAGGGGTCTGCCAGTATCGATCCGATGTCCTGGCTTGACTGCAATCAAAGCTATCGAGTTACAATCTCGAAACCATGCTATCTAAAACGATATGTACGAGCGCTGACTCGATCGATCAGTGGACTTTTAGACCGGCTGCAAACACCGAGCTATCGGAGAACGGCCTATCGCGTTTTATTAACTCAAAAGCAGCATCAGTTTGTGAAAACAGTTCATTTTGCAGATTTCACACAAATGTCTAGAGAAAAGCATTAAGAAAGTCCAGCTGATACGTTTAGGTTTATAGTATCACGGTTTGTACCTTTTGACTAATTGACTAATTATAAAAACCATGGATGTTCAGTTTTTCAAAGGAACGGTTTAAGAGTAACTGTCACTTAAAGTTTCAGTCTGAGCATTAAGCATTATACTGTCAGCTTAAACTTCACTCACTTCAATCAGTGAACTCTCATTCTCAGCAAGTGGAATCGTCCTGGTAATGGGCTTAGCCTGTTTGATCCTCTGTTGTCGGAGCAACTTTGTTTCAGGTTGGTTTTGCCTAAGTTCTCGTGCACTTTGATTAGCTGTACCTCTGCTTTTGTCCACTAGAATGGAAACGTGCTTTGTTTCCGTCTGTCGCACATTTTCTGTCTTATCCAAATAATTCGTATTTGTGGTTCCTTTTTGTGGTGACAGTGACCAGCTCGTAGGTTCTTGGGACTGATTTGGTCTTTCAAGTTCCAATCTCGGATTGCCGATTTTCGCAAATCTTTCGAACGTATCTGCGTCTCTCACGGATGCATGGGTAATTGGCTGGGATTCTTGGGGTAGCAGTCGGTTTGTTACAGCGCGGAGAATTTTGGAGCGCCATAATTTTCCCAAGCGAATTGTGGAAGCATTTACTGCTGCCTTTGGAGGAAGTGATACTTGTTCCTCTACGTCCGGGCTAAGAAGATCGGGCAAAGCCGTCGCCTCAGATGTTGTGCCAAGCGGTCGTGACGTAGACGGATTGCCAGCACATCGTTTCATCTCCCATTGTAAACCTGAAAGAACAAACAATGTGAATACATTAGGCACTAGTGATCTATCTAGTGCTGTGTCGTAATTCTTCAATCTAAATGTCTGCATTATCAATACGGTGCGCTTAACAGGCTACTCGTAAGGCTGCTGAAAACTCTCCGACAGCTGACGACCGGCTTCGCCCTTTTTGGAGATCACCAGTTAATCACAGTCCCCGGGTTCTACAAAACTGCGCAAAATTCCACAAACATACTTGCATACCAATTTGGTTGACTCACGTGAAACCCAGCTGAATTGTCTCTCAGAGGGATTCCAGCAACCGTGCCTGTAGTGTTCAACATTTTAGCATCATTTTTGTCCGTTGTTTAATTGGCTTGTCTCGGGATGCATGCGTGGCTTCTTTGTTGTGCTGGAGCACGCTCACGAACGTCACGACACTCACAGATCGGAAAGTTGAAAAGCTGCTTAATAAGGCAGTGTTTACTTTCAGCTGACTTCTGCCTACAGTTACGGTGTTATTCAATTTACTCCACTGGAGAGCGAGTCGATGAAAAAGTCGTTTCACTTAGTCTCTTTCTCAAACCCGACCTAATATGCTGCACGAAACCGCAACATCTGTAATCTGTGTGTGATATTTATGCGTTTTGTGGCTGAGAAAGAGGATAATGCGCGATACAAGTTGGCTAAATTCAAACCTGCTGCAGAGTTGTTCTACGTTCATTTATGTCTTTGTATAAGTTCATTTTCCGTTATGGTACTTTGAGGCCAACTCTACGTGATTATCAATCGATTCTGCTAATTTTCGATGTATCCATGGCTCACTCTATGGAACTTTTCCGGGGTAAATGCCTCGCTGATTACTGGATCACTGCAAAGGAACGAGGGTGCAAGCAGATCAGCAAAGATATACGAAATTTCCTCACATATGTGTCAATCGTCCTGTTCAACCCACTTGTATTAACTTGAGCATCATAATCAACACCACCATATTTGGATACCAGTTGCTCTCAGTCGTACACTGACTAAAATTGCCCATTCTTTGATTTCTCCTTCAGCCGCGTTTTACATAACAAGCTTCCGAAACGAAATCTTTAATATGCACTCCCAGTAAGTAACACCAGTAATCGAGGTTGTTCTCATTGGTTACTATTCAGTAGTATCATTCGTAGTTGCGAATATTAAAACTCCAAAGCTGAAATGGCAAAAACTGCACAATAATTTGAGAGCAGACCGACTAATCCCAAGACGTTTAAAGTTCTCATTCCCTCTGCAAACTATGTCTTGGAATCAAGTGTGCTTTTTCGTAAATTTCAGTGTCTGCATTTCAGAAAGTGTATTCACTAAGACTATAAGAGCAACATTTCAAACTATTGAAGCATTTGACAGTCCGTAAAAAATGTCCCACCTTCCAATAAACCTGACTAGAGTTCTAAGAATCCGGTTTCTTTTCCATTCCCTATTTACTTTCTCCATACAGTAATTGATTTAGCGCAAAATTTATCAAGATCACTTATGTTCGAGCCAGGAAAAGCCACAGAAGCTTCCAGTTTATCCGTTATTGATGTATGAGGTGAACTGAATAATGTGTGAAGCAACTTCACACCAAAATGAATGCCTACTTGTAACAGAATATCTACCACAAACAGACGGCTTCGCATGATAAATTCACGAATATTATGGAGCCATTTAAAGGTCTGCTTTGGGTCTACAAAATATGCTCAGACGATCCCCGCACAAGGCGATCATCTTGCTTTGTGCCACAGAAAAATGTTTACCAAAACGTTCGGGAAAATAAAAAATACTTGCTTCCGACGTTCTTAACAAGCCAAAGAGGTGTCAACAGGCAACGCTTTTAAATGGAAAAACAGCACCAGTTTGTGAAAAACGTTCGGTTTACTGACGGAAACATTTCGCCTGGATGTCCAAAGAAAAAGGTCGAGAAAGACTAACAGAATAGATGCCGTATCTGGCTGATACGTTTAGGTTATAATCAGTTAGGTATAACTAACCGGACCAGTACCTCAAGCCCTGTTTGGTTAGTTTTAAGAGAGCACGAAGTCAACTACAATAACGATCAAAAAGCTCTTGTTTAAGGAGTGCATGGAAAATGGGACGTAATTAATTTTCGCAACCACATGCATAAACTTTCCCTTGGTGTCGTTGTTGTTACTCTAAGAAAAAACTTCCGTCGATAATCAACATCTGTATATTTGCTGATCAGATTAAACATCTACGAAAAAATGGATGTTGAGAAAATCCATAGATGTGCACCCACAAACGTGACAACCTGACTGAATGGGAAACCCTACAGGGGATCATAATATCACATCCGACTTCATCATGTTTAGCGTTCTGGGACGAGTAATTCACAGACCCAAATTGAAACAAGTGTAATGTAGACGAATGATGTCTCGTCGGGATAGATCAATGGGATATACTGTTGCTTACACTATACATAACCTTAGTTTTACTTAACCAAGTCGACGGTCATCACAAAGACGAGTTCTAGTACTACCTTGCACACAGACGTTCCATATAAAGCTACACAAACCTAACTGGGACATCAGCTTAACTTGAAATTTTTAGCGCACGAAAATTTCATATCTGCAGATTCAGTTGCGGTGCAATAACCAGAGTTCATAAAGATTCACTTTATGTCTGAAGCTACCTGCTTGCCTTCTCACACCCCTGAGAAAGTTGAAACGTAAAAGCCAATTACTATACATACAATACATACATACATACATACATACATACATAATACATACATACATACATACATACATACATACATACATACATACATACATACATACATACATACATACATACATACATACCATACAACATACATACATACATACATACATACATACATACATACATACATACATACATACATACATACATACATACATACATACATACGATGCTATACATTTTCCTCGTTGGTGTCTCCATGATCACTCTCCTCTCTATTTAGGAAACTGCAAATAATCAAACCCCGTTATCCGTATAACCCGGATGAGATGAGATGACTTCTGCTTGTAGAAGGGGAAGACGTATAGCCTGCATCCATGAGGTATTTCAAAAACGGATGCGTTTTCGGGGTCAAGACTTCAATGAACTTCGTTATATCTAGTATATGATACAGCATTTCGGTCACAAAAATTCAACCCTCTTCTCCAAATAATCAATAATGCATTGTATCTAAGTTCCACCAAGATACCGTTCCAGTAATAAGCGTTCATGGGATCCAAGCACATAAAAGATTAATCCCTTTTTAAGGGGGTAATGGCATACTGGCTAAACAATTTGTGTGTCACCTGTTTGAAAGTGTGCAGGTGATTGTAGGTTATCCTCACGTTATTCAGCTTGTCATCGAGTTACCAATAATTGCCGACTATTTATGGATGCAGTCAAGATGATCCTAGAAAGCTTTTAAGTTTTTCCTTTAGGGCTGTTGACTCACCATTCACTGATTCACAGTAGGGTGTTAGCAGATATTGTATGCGGATTACTGCTAACTATGCTTCTCATGATAAGTCATCATATAAGCATTCAATGCGAAAATCTTCCAGTTTTTGGGTGAGAGGCAGAGACAAATACTTTCTGTCATCCTCGATGTCCTCCTTATTTAGCTAATACTTTGCAGCTCACTTTCCGGATAAATTAGCAATCATTTCCATGCTAAAAATATCAGTCAATAAGATAAACGAAGACAAGTAAACAAGGATGAAACAATTACATAGGATTGCTGCAAGAAATCGTACACCATGAGCATGGCGTGACCTTGACGATTAGTTCCACACCAGCGTTTCGCGTACAAGTGGCGTCTGCCTGTCCAATGTCTCGGTTTCGTTTTCGAAAATAAACCCACAAAAGTGGACTTACTTTTCCCTCACAGAATGCTTTATTATATATATATATATATATGTGTTTTCTAAAATGTCATCACAGTATTTGTGATTACCAACAACATGTATTACCAGTTTTACACGGTAATTTACTGTCTCAGTTGGGTTTTCGGGAGTCTCATCCTCATATGATATGTACGAATCTCACGCTTGAGGGCCTCATCTATAAACATATTATATGCACAGATATGTTCGCACATTTGTCCCAATTACGATGACTTTAATTCAAGCGGGTGAAAAATGCTTCAGCTATATTTGTGTAGTGTCTGTTTGAAGTCTGACAGATAAAAAACATTCGCTAAAATAATACGACCTCTTTTATTTCTGAATCTAATTCGTCTGTTCCAAGGATAGCTAGTTTTACATTAAAAAGTTTAGGGTAATGTAAGTGAGAACTTTCCGCGAGGATTTCGTTGTTCCCAGTCTGAAGAGAGGAGAATAGCGGGGCGATAATCCCGTTTGTCCTTATTAGATTACCGAAAAATTCTTGAAAGTCCTCAGACGTCCAGATCATCCCCATTCTTCTTGATCAGTTTAGTACCATTCCACTGATCCCTGCTTGAACCAGATAATTATTATGACATTTTCGCAGCTTAGCAGTTATCAAATTTGTTTTGAATCACCATTACCACACGATCACTTAAGCAATCGATGTCAGGCAAGGAAGTAACGCGCTACGAGGTCTTCAACCATTCGATTTCAGGTTTACGCAAATTATCCCTCGGTGTAAAGCGGTGTTACAAGGTAACTGAGAGAGCGTAGAAACTTCGCAATGTATAACATCCCGATGTAGAATGTTGCTGTTTTAAATAAAGAAGGAACATATTCTGCGATCAAATGGAAACAAGACAAACGGTAATTGAAGCAATTTAGTTGAAATTAGACTATAACTGTAGCAAATACTAGAACAGCCCTTTGTTAAGCCTGCAACTGTACAGGGTTTGCTTGAAACGGCCACACTTCTAGAGTGAATTAATACGGAGAATTGCACAGGGCTGATGTGCGCCCGGGCTCAACATTGTCTACCTTGGGCCGGGAAGAATATCATCAATGAAGTTTGCTGACCTTAACGATGTTACCAACAATAATACGAATTGACTAATATA